AAAATTGAAAAGGCCCATGAAAGGACGAAGATTTGCGACGATTGAGGAGATTAAGGCTGCATCGCTGGAGGAGCTCAAGGCAATACCCAAAAGTGCATTTCAGAAGTGTTTTGACGACTGGAAAAAGCGCTGGCACAAGTGCATTGTATCAGAGGGGGATTATTTTGAAGGGGATAATATAATTTTGGATGAATAAATGAATATTTTTTTATAAAAATAAAAAGTCACCTTACTTTTTGATCATACCTCGTATACTTGATATATCGAAAGTCTGCTTGTACGAATTTCACTACGACTACATGTTACCACTGTTTCACGATAAATGAAAAATCATATACACCGACACGGACAGTCTCATTTACCACATAGAATGCGAGAACATTTACGAGACTATTAAACGCGATATCGCTAGATTCGACACGAGCGATTATCCGGTGGACAACGCATACGGTATGTCTCTCGCGAATAAAAAAGTACCAGGTCTTATGAAGGACGAGAACAACGGTATGATAATGACCGCATTCGTTGGGCTCAGAGCGAAGATGTATGCGGTGAGGGTAGATGGCAAGAAGGATACTAGAAAGGCGAAAGGCGTAAAGAATAACGTCGTAGCGCGAACGATAACGTTCAACGATTACAGGCGGTGCTTGAACGAAGAGATCGAAATGACTCGTCGTCAATCGTGTATACGATCTAAAATGCATGAGGTATACACGATATCCGAATCGAAAATCGCTCTGAGTCCATACGACGACAAACGATACGTCGTACCGAACACTACGGAGACGTTACCGTGGGGACACTGGCGGATACCTTTGTAATATATGCATTAACATTTATGTTACTATTAAGTACTACTATTATTGTATTGTAATTTACACTTTATGTATGTTTTTTACGTTATCAGTATTACTATTATGTTTTATGTGGTACCATTTATTATGTATTATTATTTACAATTCATGTATCAACCATTTTCTTATATATTATCGTAATTTGTACTTTGTATATGTTTTCCTACATTTTCTCTTTTTTATTATCATATAGTGAATATGAATTACTATTATGTATTATTATCATTATAATTTCGTCATGCATGTGTTTTTTTACATTTATATAAGTGCCTTACTATTATATTTTATATAATACCATTTATTATATATTACTATTATTTTTTATTTCATGTATCGTACATTTATAAGTACTTTATATAAGTCTTACTATTACGTTATATCTAATATCATTTATTATGTATTACTATTTTTCATTTCATGTATCGTACATTAATAAGTATTTTATATCTGTATACTCCAAAAACGAAGATGGAAGAGATAATAAAAAATATTTCACACGTTTATATCCTTATGTAGATATATATTTTTTATATGTAGAATAAAAAAATATATGAATCAAAATTGTATCAAATCACATTGTGAATGCATAAATATTATTTTTTGGTAAGTTACAATTTCGAAATTGAATTTCAAGAACAAATTAAAAGAAACATTAAATATAATTTTGTATATTTAATTCGAAACCTTCGAAATCTAAATGTTTCAATAATGGAAAATATATCATTGTAATAAAAATGTCGTACACACTTTCGTTTCATCATTGATTTACAGATTTACATACATTTTCTTGTACCATATCAAATATGGATGTTTCATTACACTAAATGTAGATATAATTGTTCTTTTAAACTGAAAAGTTGAAAATATCGTACGAGACATGCAGATATCGCAAGCGCCGCTCGGAACGAGAAAGTTAACGCCCGCTCGCCGCGCGCGCGTCCTTGAGTTGCCAGACTATTTAATTAATTCCCAGGCGAGTTTTAAAAACGCCATTCTGAAATTTTCACATTTTTTAGTAAATTTTCCGAGGAATCCGATAGTATTTGTAAAAAATAAATTAACTTCGGGCGTCATGGTCAAAATTAACTTTTAAGATTTAATTTGCAGAAAAAAGTATTTTTTTTAAAGTTGAGGTTAGGAACATAATTTCATCAAAAAGCTGATGTAATAACGTTTGAAATGAAAAAAAAAATTGTTCTACTATAAAAAACGACGTAGATACGACGACTTGAAAATTACCATAAAAGGCAAAATTACCATAAAACTAAAAATTTAAAATCGCTATTTCTTCGAAAATAAATTAAAAAAAAAAATCCCGATGCACGTGTTCGCTTATTTTATACCTACAATTGGTAAAAAAAGTTTGAAGCGATTTAAAAATGTCGAAAAAAAAAGTGTTCGGTTTGTAAAAGAATGCCTCAATTATACTTGATGGGTCTTTTCAATCGTTTTCCTTTCCCTTTTTCTTCAACATCTGAATATAGTGTAGCATTAGGATTTTTTTCAATTTTTACAAGCATTTTCATCCCACGATCATAGTTTCCTGAAAAAAAAATCATGAATTTCAGTTACAAGAACAAAAGAATGTACAGGATAGACATTTTAATGCCCCTACTTAATTTTCATTGCTACGTCTTTAAAAAAAAAAATGTTTCCGACTAAAGTAATAGACTACGTCATAGCTGTTTCTTTGAAGAATGGAATAATTGTGATTGGTCCGTTTCCTAACACCAATGTTATAACTTCGGCGTAAATCGAGCCGTGTAAACGTAGTCATAGTCTAAAGAGGAATAAATATCAACTAAAAAAAATTTAATATTATTATTGACATTGCAATTCTGTTTTAAAAAATGGCGACGGTTTTATGTAACTTTAAAAATTGATGTTTTTGAGAATTTATTTTACAATTTATCACTCTTTAGACTACCTAAAACATTTTTTGTAAAAGACATAAAAAAACATTTAAGTGAACACATTAAAATTGACCACCCTTTATAAAGCATCGAAAGACAATTTATGAAAAAGTTAGTTTAATGTAAACATACCAATGCTTTCTTGTGTCTTCTTGATAGAAAAGCAATTCCACTTTGGATTTGCTTTTGTACAATGTTTTACTAATTTATGTATTGTTGTTTTATGTTCATTCATTGGATACCAACTATGTGTTCCCATCATCGTAATCCACGAAGATGGAATCAGATCACTGAAACCTTCGACATTCTCTTCTTCATCAGATTCGAAGTAAACAATAGACCACTGATCTGTCACATTACACACTTCCGTAGCAAGTTCTGATGTTTCATTAATAACATTATCGGTCATATTTAATAAATCATTTTCTGCTACTTTATCTGACGAATTAATTGAATCGCTCATTATCGCAAATATTGTTCGTAAGTACTACTGAAACACAAGAAAAATATTTATAAGATTTTATAATTATGTAAGCATTGAATTAGCGATATTCTGAGCAGAATTTTGTATTATTATGTATTATGTATATTGTGTTACAGAAAAACTAAATTATAATCAATTATAGGGTAACTCCGGTATATACGCCGCGCTGGGATTTACGCCGCGAAAATAAAAAAAAATAGAAGGAGTGGGGGTAATTTTCTCGCAACTACTCTGTTACATGTCTTTATGTTATATTAGTATTAAGTTATAATTTCAGCTTCTTACTGTTAATATTAATGAAATTATTGTGAGTTGAATCGATTTGTCACTGTGTGTGTAACAAGTAGCATCATCATAAATTATAGTCTACAAAAAATGATTACTGTAAGGCGTGTAAAAGACCTAGTGGTTATTTCGTGACACATACGTGTAGAGGAATAGTAAAGCATGTTGTATATAGCAAAATACAAGTGCTTTGCTTTCGTATTCTTTGTATAGTTTATTGAAACCCTTGCATTTTTGTCATATATCCCACTCATTATCCATTGCTATACATAGCAAAAATGCAAGATTTCAAAAAGTTTATTTTTTAATACGAAAACTAAATTTTTCGGATTTCTAATATATTTTCATAATAGTAGACAGTACAAAGTTTTTACTGATATAGTTTGTTTATTTTAAATAAAGTAAATAATACTTAATAAATTAAGTTTTTGATAGGTGCGGCGTATATACCGGAGTTACTCTATAGATCATAATAAATTATAATAAATTATAATTTATAAAAAACACAATAGTCCAATTCCAAGTAATTTTTTGCTGTAAACTAGTGTAATTATATAATTATTTAATGACATTTATAATTCGATAATTAGAAACTTATTCTGATTCTTCTTCAAGCCTTTAGTTTATTGTTCACGTTTTAATAACTTAACTAAACGAGTACTTTTGGAATATAAATGAATACTTTACCTTTGATTTTTCTTGTCATAATAATGATTTGATGAGATAAAATGGCAGTTACAAAAAAGATAAAATGAATAGAAAATCGTAGTGGTTAGACGGCGAATGAAGTGATTAGAGATTATAGTATCTTGCTTAATTAAAGTGTGTCACAATGTAAAATTGACAATACGACATAGTCGTTTTTATACGGTAACTTTACATATTTTATAGTAATTTCTGACAATGGCCAAATTTTGAGATTAGACAGTTTCTTAACTTTAAATACTCCTACGCGAGAAATCTCAGAAGGTACAGTGTAAAAATCGCGTTTATCAATAAATTCTCTGCCAATAACAACTGGAATCTGCAAATATTCTGAGAAAGCTATATTCTCAATTTGAATGATACTTCCGGAAGTATTACCACAGCAATTATTGGGACTTTCATTTATTACTTTAAAATTTGGAAGAGCAACTCCACGATACTGACGCGTGCAACCTGGTAACAGCGGACCGCTATTATGGGGTAAAGAAAGCTTTGGAAATTGATTATCTCGCTGTTTTTCCGTTAAATAATCAGTCTCAAACGACATTATTTCTCCAATTCTTAGTCCTATTTGTTCAAGTGGTTTACTGCGTCCTCTTACTTTTCTTTTAATGCTCTGCATGTAATTTTCAAAACGAAATGCAGATATCGTATCCAAAGAGAAATCATCTAATTTGTCGACAAAATAATCTACATCGTCAGTTATATGGATGTTGTTATGGAAATTATGGGAAATAAAATTTTTGTCATACAATATTATAGTGGACTGAACAAAATGTTTCAAGAGATCTTTAGCAAATTTACGAAATTCCTGTTCTTTACAAAATTTTACGTTTAATAAAATTCTCATTGCAAAATGAAATTGCAAGAAATGAACATATTTTTCTTCGCTCAAAACATTTTTGAGAACAACTGGCCCTAAATATAAAATAAATAACCTAAATTCTGTATGACAATCTTGTGTTTCGCGGGTTTTCTCCGTGTTCAAATCCATTCTTGGAATGCCAACGTTTCGTGAACCTTGCAGTCCACTTCATCAGGGCGA